GGTTTAGGGTTTAGGGTTTAGGTCCAAAGGACCCAATAATTAGGTACTTTGGTTACGTAGAGTAGTTATCTAGGTTAATATTTGGGAGAGTATATGATTATTAGGTACTTGGACCCTTAGGGTAGGGTCAAACCAAAGGTAGGGGGCCCCACAAGTGGTTTAGGGTCTAGGGTTTAGCTGAGATCCCCAATGCCCAACCTTCAAACTTTGTGGGGTCTTAAACCCTAAACCCTAAACCCTAAACCCCTAAACCCTAAAGCTTGGTGGGAATCGGAAAGTCTGACCTTCCACTTCTGTGGCTTGTTCGGGAAGTGTAAGTCTCGCTACGGACACCCTCGAACTCTCTGCCTGGACTCTCTAAGCTGCCCCTTCCATCCAATGTGCGAGACGAGTCAACCCGGAACCAGTGTTATTTGCGTCGAGCTTAGGGCAGGCGGCTTTATCTTAGGGTTTAGGCAAGACTGGAGAAGCTTCAGGGTGCAAAGGGGTCTCGCGGTTTTGGGGGTTTTGGGGTTTTTGGGGGTTCGGGGGTTTAGGCTCTGGGTTTCCAGGGTTTAGGGTGACTCAGGTGTCCTAAACGCTAAACCCCAAACCCTAAACCCCTAAACCCTAAACCCCTAAACCCCAAACCCTAACCCTAAACCCCAAAACCCTAAACCTTGCGGCTCTTCCTACACCCCGAGCTGAAGCCTCCAAGGAGACGAAAATCACCCGCCACGGCAACATGCGCCTCGTTCAGCTTTCTGTGGCATTCCTTAGGGTTTAGGAATTTAGGGTCTAGGGGTTTTGGGTTTAGGGTATAGGGTCTAGGGTTTAGGGTTTAGGGGTTTAGGGGTTTAGGGGTTTAGGGGTTAGGGTTTGCCCCAAAGGGTCCATGTACCTTCACTATGGGCCCCAGGGTTTAGGGTTCAGGGGTTTGGGTTTAGGGCTGAAGTATCCTACTACAGAGGCAGAAGGGCCCTTAGGGTATCGAAACTGCCATGTTTCAGGTGCATTGGTTCAGCCTCCTGGGCCATCACAAATACCAGAACAGTGCGCGGCAGCGTCGTGTTCTTATGTTCCTCGTGTGTATCGCTGTGGTGTAGTGGTTTAGGATTTAGGGTTTAGGGGTTTAGGGTTTAGAGTTTAGGGTTTAGGGTGTGTGTGTGTGTGTCGCTGTGGTGTAGTCAAATCTACCCTGCTCTACTGATACTGTAAACCCTGAACTCCCTAAACCCCAAACCTTCTAGGGTCTAACGAGCACCCGGACCTCACATAATCCTTAAAGTAACTCTAATGGCACCCTTATAGGAGCCCCGTTTGTAACACTGTAAAGGACCCTATACTATACCCTGCAACCCTGACCCAACACCCCCGTCTCTCCCTGAATCCATACGTCCAAAGTTCACGCGAAACTCTGAAGCCTTTCCAACCTGCCGAGTAGAAGCTAACAAAACCTGAAACGCAGCTGTGCTGTCTGCTGCCTTCTTTTGGAAGTGTAAGGCTAGGCCCTAAACCCTAAACGGTACCCTAAACCCTAAACCCCTAAACTCTAAACGGTACCCTAAACCCTAAACCCCCCAAACCACCTCCTTTTTTCTCTGCACGCCTGAGCCCTGCAGCCCACTCCCCGAAGCCCGAACCCGCAAAACGTCATATTTTTCCTACAGCCCTACCCTTTAGCATCAAAAAAATAGCCCAAAAGCCTTTTATAATATAGGTTCTTTGGGCCCCAAGGCCTCAAAATATGAGTCCTTTGAGGGTACCCAGAATCACGACAAACGAAAACACGAAACGTGTCAAGCCCATGCAAATTTGCTACCAAGACCCTAAAGTAAAAAGCTCGGTTCTAACCAAGACCCTAAAGGTAAAAAAGCCCCGTTTTGCTCAACAAATAAGGGTCCCCTCTCAGGTCCCCCAAACAGTACGGCACCCTTATTGACAAAAACAAAGAAACCTGCTCAAATGGGACTGTAATTTACACAACTACCAATAGACCGCTTAGTAGTTCCTTTTTGGGGTTCATAATTAGAATCCTATAAGGTAATCCCAAAAAGGAACTACTATGGGGCCTATGTGTACCAATATACTGACACCCGAAGCTTTCTGGAGGTTGGTTGGCGGAACTCTGGGCGGCAAGAGCGTTTGCTGGAAAGCCCTTGCCAAGGCAGAACTCTGCCTGAACCCCAAACCCTAAACCCCGTGTAGGGTTTGGGGTTTAGGGTTTAGGGTTAACCCTAAACCCGAAGCCCTAAACCCCAAACCCTAAAGCCTAAGCCCTAAACCCCAGACCCTAAATCGTGGCTCTTCCTTCGCTTCCTTGCATATGTTTTTGTAGGCCTTTGGGGGGGCTTTTTGTTTAGGGCCTGGACTTCTTCCTAGGGATTGCTACGACTGTTTTTGTTTGATGGATTTTAGCAGAATCTGAGACCCCAATATTATTGGATCCTTAAGGGAGGATGGCTCAAGGGGGGAGGGTCCCAGGGAGCTTTAGGGAACCCTCAGGGAGTACTCGGGAGAATTGGGGATTACTTACTGTGTTATATACCCCCCTTTAGAACCCCCTCTCTTCAGGATTCGATAACAATACCCAACCTTTAACCTTTTTGGATACTTGTAGTTTAATAGGAATCGGAAAGTCTGACCTTTCTTTTCTGTGGCCTAATTGAGGAGCAAGATGTTGTGGATTTGTTTGAAGAGGTTTCAAGAAATCCAACTGGAGTTCTGACAATGGCTTACCCTAAACCCTAAACCCTAAACATCGGAGCTCAGACTGGTTGAAGTTCCAGGCCTGCTAGAGCTTCGAAGGGTTTTGTTCGCCATGTGGGTAGTTGTCAAAATTATGGTCCCTTTTGGGGGTACCCTAAATTAATAGGTGCCGTATTATAATAAGGACCCCCAAAGCGCCCATCATTTTGAAAACCACCCATGTCCTATGTCCGAGGCAGCAGGTGCCTGACAGGTCTCTCTGACAAGATCCGAAAAGCCCAAGGGGTTTTTAGGGTTTTAGGGTTTTAGGGTTTAGGGTTTTTTGGTTTAGGTTTAGGGTTTTAGGGTTTAGGGTGTAGGGTTTAGGGTTTAGGGTTTAGTCCTAAACCCTAAACTCCGAAGCCCGAAACCCTCGTCCTCTGCTTCACAGGCGAAATGCATCCTCAAGTCCATGGGCCAGGAAGGCACTGAGGGCTGAGGGTTTAGGGTTTGGGTTTATATAGGGTTAAGTGTTTTACGGTTTCGCTTTTAGGGTTTAGGGTTTGGGTTTATAGGGTTAT